CCCGCGGGCTCCAGCGCGGAGCAGGGTACCGCGGGGGCAGCTGTGAGATGAGGGCGGGGGTGCGAGCGTGAGGAGGGCACGAGGTGGAGGGGCGGACAGCCTGCCCTGCTGTGGGGAGGCTGCTGGGTGTGAAACGCAGCGTCTTCAGGTGAGGCCTGGCGTCTGCAGAAGTCCGGTTTTCAGGCAGGTCCTGTAAGCAGCGGACTTCAACTTACATGCTTTTGGGGACTTCTGAAAACTTCCAGGTGCGAATCTGGACCGCTGTTTAGGCAATGTAAGCCGTATGGTAATAGGCTTTTTATTATTACTCAAGTTCATTTTATCTGTCTCATTTAAATGAAGCCCTTACAGACTCTTGGCATAACTGTGAGGGTGGTAAACGGTGGCATGTGGGCGAAATGAATGGTGTCATTGAGGGAAAGAAAGCCCCTTAGTCTGGCTTTGAGACTAGAGGAAACGGAACGTAAGAATCTAATGTGTCACCTTTCTCAGACAGATCTCGGATCACTGCTATAGAAGAAATCTGTTCTTTTTTGAAATAGTAGACTTCTGACAGGAAAATTGTTGTGAAACTACTGGTGTGCATTCCTGGCAAATGTACTTCATAACCAGAATTCAGAGCAGTGAAATTGCAGTCTTTGCTTCAATATGTATTTGTATAATCCCTAACTGTGTGTAGAAACAAGAGATGGCACTAGTTTTATATCTTGATTGGGGGCCCCAACATGCTTGCTGAGCATTTTCAAATAATGATATTATTTGCTACCAGTATCCACTTCAGGCTTGCTGATTATTTGTTATTCCATTAAAGAGTTTATCCAAAAGAACTTTTCCCAAAAGGGTTGTTTATAGTTTGCTTTTCAGGTACGATTCATGAAACAAATTGGATTGCCATTCACAAAAAGGTCAATTCAGAAGACTAGATGGAAGTCTTTAGAAAAGAGCTGTATATGAGGAATGATTGACCTCTTAGGAAGACCCATTTCTGTAACATGTTGATCCAGATTTTTTTCATGGTTTAAGGCTGTGATATTTTGGAAGCTGCAATCAGGAAATTTCATGGCTTAGCCTGTATATTCAAACTCTTGCAAACTGTCTTTGTTTGTAGCGTATGATAAACCTCGCAGAGTTGACCCCTTACATCCTGTGTTCCATCTGCAAAGGTTACTTTATTGATGCTACAACTATTACAGAATGTCTGCACACCTGTAAGTATCAGTATTGTCATTCTGAGAGTTTAGTTGCAAATTCAAACAAAAATTAGCTGTTGAGATGTTCTGGCTTCACAAAGATAATTCTCTGTTTGATGTGAATGTGTGTTGTGTTTATTCTGTTCCTTAAGGAAAATACATTTGTGGATATTTTAAGCATCAGAAAATCATGAAATCAGTCAATCATGAAGTCAGTTTAGTTGCCCAGGTTAAGAGGGAAGAAGATGTAGGGAAAGATAAAGCCCAAGGAAAAAAAAACCAGAGCTACTACATACTTTTTTTTTTAAGTAGGCTCTAGGAATTCGAGTATATAACTGAGAAAAGAAAGTTGGGCGGCTCTGCTCATAATGGACTAGAGAGTTTCCTAAACTGTTGCTGATATGAACTTGTAAGTTCACAAAACTCAGTAAGTGGCTGTGTAGAAATACCAGTTCAGATACAGAAACAGTTATATGCACCCGTGGAACAGTTAGTCTATAGCCTGACGAATAGAAATGGATGGATAATAAAAAACTGGTTTCAATGTTCTTGTCTTGTTATTTTTCCCCTCAGTCCTTGTGTTACGTTAACCGTTTTTCCATTGCTAACAGCACTATTTTCTCTCAAAGCTAATAAAACCCTTTCTGTGAAGCTGACCCTTTCTGTGAAGCTGACTCTGTCAGCCACACCCACATTCCCACCTGAATCCAAGAATCTCAACTTCCTAGTCCTTCCAGCTGCTAACACTATAGAGAGGGAAATCTCTTTTTTCTTTTTTTCTTTTTTAATGGGGCACTGCTTACTAGCTTGATTATACCATGTAATATTCAGTGCAGGTTGTAGTTTAGGAAAATGCACAGCTGTTAGTAAGGACAGCATAATGTTGCATGTGCAACTGTGGTGATCTCTTAGAAGTTTCCTGGTAAATGTTGTGGAAAAGTTTGATGTGTTCAGGCTGATACAGAGCTGATTCGATAGCAAGTTGTTTATTCTAGATGTTTCCACTCATTAGCTTTCCTTCCAAATTTTTAAAGTACATGTAAAATACAATGAAAATGGCAGAATTATAATTTCTTACCTTGGTTTTTCTACTGAAACTGCTTGTAGGGTGCTTTTCAGCAAACCTCTTGTCTGCAGCAGTCAGTATTCTGTTGTCTTAGCTCTACTCTTGTTCTGGGTAACAGAATTACAACATTGAACACCTACTGTTGCATCAGTTGGATTAGGATTTTTTATAGGAATAATAATCCTAATTGAATATTCAAGAATGTTGTACCCTGTACCAGAGAGCTGCTGTTTACTTGAGTTTTAAAGTTGAAAAACTTGCTTCGTTTTGTTTCTGACAAATTTTATTTGAGCAGTCTGGGTGTAATTGCTCCTCTTGCTTAAACAGATAGTATTGTATAATGGACATGTGACTATTATGGGGTTTCTTTTCTTTCTTTACAGTTTGTAAAAGCTGCATAGTGAGACACTTCTATTATAGCAACAGATGTCCAAAATGCAACATCGTTGTACATCAGACACAGCCCCTTTATAATATCAGGTAATAAGTTCATGTCATTTTTATAGGTATAATTTTTTTTCAAGTTTCACTGCTTGCTTTTAAATGTTTTGTTTTACAGACTTGTAGTGCTTTCCTGCTTCAAATGACAGAACAGTTACAAGAAAAGCATTGTATTCTTTGTTTATGTAAGCTTCATCTCAATAGTGAGACAAAACAAGAAATTGAGTATTTTTATCTAGTTTGTATCCCTTTCTAGGGTTTCTTACCCCCCACCCTGGGTATTTTTATGCATTTGCTCAGTGTTACAGGTGATATGAGATCTTAACTATTTGCTTTGATTTCCTTTTAGACAAGGCTTTGTTGGCGTGGTGTACTTATTAATTCTGACAATTGAGTTTTAGTTTCTCAAACTGTTCATGAATTCTTGAAGGGTGGTGCTTTTAACTTTACATGGCTTCCTCTGTTGGAGCTCTGCTGTCAGGACACAAATTTAGGCAGATACGGAGTTGCTGCTCTGTCACCCTTCTCTTTATGTACGTCATATTTCAACAGTGTATTTGGCATCTCTGTTACAATTTAATGAAAACCATTCTGTATTGCACCAAAGATGCTTTCATTTTTTTTTCTCTTTAATAGACTGGACCGGCAACTGCAAGACATCGTCTATAAATTGGTTGTCAATTTGGAGGAAAGTAAGTCCCTATATTTTATTACTATCTAGAGATTGAAAAGACTGAACAGAAAACAGAGTAATTCAAAGCCCCGTTTCTACTCTGGGCTCCTTAAAATAGTTTTGTAATGTTTGGTTATAAATCTTAATGGATTAGCTGTGCCAACTGGCATCTTTCTGGCTGCTAAATGCTATTATGGGTAGCGGTATGTACCCTATCTCATGAAACACAGGTGTCACTGTATCCAGATAAACATCCAGATAATATTTCATAGTCATGCCTCATATTTTTGTGTAAGTACAGAAAATATAATTCCAACCGAATAAGCTCACTTGCCTCAGTTGAAATAAAGTTGCTAAGACTGATTCTCTCAAATGCTTTTATTTTTTCCTCACTGACACATACATTTTTCTGATTTTAGGTGTGTTCACTGTCACATGTCATTTACCTTGAACTTGGGAAACCAATGAATCTGCACAGTCCACCTGGGTGGACTGGGTGAAATATACACATCTAGTGGATATATACGGACTATAGATGGTATAAAAATAGTCATGAAAGCCAGAAGGATACTAGGTTTTGCAGCTATTTCAGTATGATTTATGGCCAGTTTCTTTGATTTCTTTCCAGTTTTTACTGACAAACTCGTAGTCTGGGTATCTTAAGTGCCCCAGCCTCGTATGGAATGCTAGTGATGGTGAAGGTCTGTAGGAACTTGGAAAGTTTTTACTGTTCTGCCCATTTGAAACTGTATGGATATTCTCAGCATCTGAAATAACATTCCAGTCTGTTCTGTATTGTGGGTTTTTTTCAGGAGAGAAAAAACAAATGCATGACTTCTATAAAGAAAGAGGATTAGAAGTGCCCAAACCAGGTGAGCTGTAATCACTTTAAAGGACACTGTTAAGGAAATATTTACTATACCTTTTATTCTTAAGGACTTTCCTTGAAATATTAGCTCTCAACTGAAGAAGATATGTAGTATTGGAAGTATGGAATTCTTGGTTGTCTGATAACTGTGATTTGTCACAGTTCTCAAATTACAAAAATAGAAGATGGATCTGGCAGCACTTAAACTGAGATCGTGGTTGGATTTTTTTTAAACAGATTATATTTTGCCTACAACCAGGAAGTATATATAAAACGTGCATTAATTTTATTTTCTGGCCCTTACTAAATAATAGACATTACAAAGGAGTAAAAATAAGAACTTCAAAGTCTGTTGACAAATGAGGGATTATTCTAATTATTTTTCGTATTACTATGAAACAAACAGCTCTTTGGAGAGGTGCCACGCTGAAAGCTAATAAAATGCTGGTTCAGATACACAGCATGAAATGTATAAAGAGCTGATTTAGTCGTAAAAAAAATAGGGTGAATTGCACGGGCTCTTTTTCCTTATGAGCTCATCTGTTTTGCTTGGCGCATGTTAGTGTCTTATGCTGCTTTTATTTCAAGTCGTGTTTGCATTTTGGCTATTTGAATATTTTAGCTGTCCCACAGCCAGTTCCAGTGAGCAGAGGAAGACCTCGAAAAGTTCTGGGCTCTGTGTTCCGGATCCCACCAGAACTTGACATCTCCATACTTCTGGAGTTCATTGGGTGAGTTGTGCGCAAATCTAAGACTAAGTGGCTGATGTGAGGGTGCTGCTTGTGTGTGTTGAACTGTTACTGGCTCTTAGTTTTCATTGAATGAGCATTTCCTCCATTTCAAATAGCAATGGGGAGCTGGTTTTAACTTACAGTGCAATAGTGACAGCCAACTATGCATAGCTAGATGATGCAGATAATTAAATGCGTAAGGTGTCTTCCTATGAAAATAGCTTCCTAAAAAGTGTAGTTTTAAAACTTGCATGTGTTTATTTTATTTTTAACAAAGTAGTGTAGTCTCAGTAAACTGAATGATGAGATACCTGTCTCTTACACTTCCTTAGTCCCTGTAGGTGGCAGTATCATTAATGCTGACTATGTCAGGACTTGCTCATGTAACTTGGGGACTGCAACCACAACCTGGGCAGCAAGAGTAGTGTTCCTCTAAATGTTATAGGTGGGGGGTAATAACGTGGTCTACTATTAAGTTTTCCTGACAGTTTCCCAGACTTTAATGAATTATGCTGAAGCTTTTGTATCAGGAATCACTTTTAGCCATGGATTGTGGGGGGGAATCTAGCCCAAACACTTGAGTTGTTTTCAGGAACACAAGAGAGAAATTGTATATGCAGATTTATATGTTAGTGATTGGGAGAGGGTAATTGAGAAAGGATTGAAAGCTGTAACTACTCTGCTAACACCACACAGTGCAGAACCTCAATTCGGGGCGGGGGGAAGTGGCTTGAGTCTTGTGCAACTCTTACCCCTCTACCCAGATCGTGCCTGCTTTTGGCCTGACTTTGAACAAAATGTTCAGAGAACTACAATATGTAATCATAGCAAACTTACAGAAATTATGTAAAATCAAGCCCTCAGAAATTGGGAAATTCTAGCAGCAAAGCATACCATCTTGATTCAACCTCACTCGTTGTAGACATCATGTCCTAGTCTTTTTATATGTTATGTCCACTGTGTCTCACTTTATTCAGAGTACAGAACAGATTTCCTCCATGGGTAAATTTTGGTCAGGTAGGTGGTGGTGTGTGGTTTTTTGTTTTGTTGGCTTTATTTTTGTGTTGCCCATCATGTGGCATCTTAATTTCTTTAAATGGATAAGGAGTGGGACTGCAGGAAGAAAAGAGAAGGTCTTAGAGCTAAACCTCTAGGGAGCAATGCCTGACTGCGCTATAGAATGTCCTTGTGAATCCACATACCTGACATAATTTCAGTGTTCATTTTCTTTATGCCTGACTTGCAGAAGTGCTGAATGCTCACAAGCACAACTGAAAGCAGTGGGAGTCATGACTAAAACTGTAGTATCAAGTGTTCTGCAGACCAACCCAATCTTGGCTGTCCCAAATTGGGCACTTGCAGTTCTTGGTTACCTTTCAACAGTCTGTCTCAGGTTCCTCTTTTTAAACAAGGTATTATACTGCCATTCTGCTGAGTAGGATGGTATGGAAATACATTCGTGTGTTGAAGAAATGAGACCGAGGAAGTTAATGCTTTTGCATTAAGAGCAGGTTTGTTATAAGTAAAGCCAAGAGCCATGTGTTGAACAGGAAAGGAAAGCAAAGGCATTATATAGTGTATTGTACACTCGAAACTTAATTTAAATATAGTTTTTAATTGTACTTAAAAGGCTTTTTTCCCTTTAATGAATGTGGTATAAAACATGTGATGTAATTAGTACAGGGTCCCAGTGACCTGGTGCTCAGGCATGCTTTTTACCCCATTGGGTAAACCATCATTAAATGGATAAATACAGACATAAGGTAAAATTCCTTGACTAAAATCTCAGTAGAAAAGAGTAAATATAATGCTATTTACCCTACATTTATGTTGGGTTAGGAATGTTAGGAAAATATGCAGTTATTTTATTGCCTCAGCTGTGGCTGTATCTCATTACATTAGCATCTAGGTAGGAGTTTGAAGGATGCTCATTCTGGGACCCGTGATGGGTACCAGCCACTGCTGTGCTGGCCCGGCAGGTGGCAGAGGGAGCATATGGAGTGAAGGGGCATAGGAGCATGCTTTTATACCAACAGCCCTGCGTCTTTCTCAATGATAATTTCACAGTAAAATTACTTTAAAAACGGGAATTAGACTTTAGTTCCAAGGATGTCCCTTTCAGGTTGGAACACTTGGTGACTCTATAGGAAAGCTTCCTTAGGTTGTCTTGACTGCAGGATTAGATACAGTTTGAACTCATTGTAGTGAAAGTACTTTGGTTTAGGTCTCCACTGTGAAAGTCTCCTGGTTACCAACCGCGCCCCACCCCCCCACCCCCCATGATTCTCAGCAGGTACGTCTTTCTTTTTTCAGAGCAAGATGAAGATGTCAGGCAACGTAGACCTCAAAACTAGTAAACATGTATCTGCCTGTCTGTGAAACAAAATGACTTTTGAATCTGTGTTGTCGTATTTGTTTTTCTGGTAGTTCTATTTCAAGCTTCCATTCTAGTGTTGGCAGCAAAGCAGGTAATACTGTGCAAATACCATCTATACTATGTGAAATTGTCCACTGTGTTTTTGTTACTTATATGGAGGGAAGCACAGAATGTTTCTAACAAAAAAAGGATGATGGCTTAACAGCATCTACTTTACAATTTTTTAGTGACTCTTTTAACCCTTGATCTTCTTTTATACTTTATATGTTTGAGGGTTAATATGTTTTCCCCTTCAAAGGTCAAAATCAAAGAGCTTTTCTTGGTGATGAGAGATTAAGAAAGCTCTTTGGATTAAGAAAATTTAGAGTAGATTGGACCAGGTAGCAGAAATTGTTACTTTGAAAGTCTGACTGTCTATATTGTGTCTTTAGAGTATATTATCTAGTCTCCTGTGGCTGTGAGACTGTATCAAAGAAAATGACAGCTGTAGTGGAAAAGCTTTTCTATGTTTGTTTCTTAGTAACTTTAAATTTCATTTCAGTGGCAGAATTTGATGATAGTTTTACTTCACTCTGTCTGACAGCTGGTACATATTTAGAGGTGGAGATACTCAGTTACAGTAACTTGAAGTGCCATGCTAATGTGTGGTCTGCACAAACATTAAAAATACGTTTGATTGCTATATCAAATGGGTCAGTAGAAGTGTAGTCGACTTACAGTGATTTTTGATTTTTGCCCTCTCCAGGGCAATGAAATACTGCATTTATTTCCTCTCTCATGTGTCCATACTTGCTAATGCAATGCAAGAATAGTGAAATGTCATGAATTGGGCCTAATTAATTGAGAAATTTATACATTGCGCTACAAGATGGAGGTGTGAAGTATAGATCATCAGTAGTAGATCACATGCTCAGACTGTGCAAATCAATGAACCTCTGGTGAAGCCAGCTGGGAATTTGGTCATTTGCCACCTTTGTGTGTATTTCACCTTCCAGAGAAACTCCTGCTGCTTTCCTGAGTTCCTAGATAGCGTTAGCATTAATCCTGTGATGTAAATAGTCTAGAAGGCCAACAACTGGCCCAGAAAGCCTCTTCAGTTGGGCATATTCTGTCAGCAACTTCTTAGATACTGTCTGTTAAAGTTCCAAATATCAAGGATGATGAAGTGTGGATGTTTAAGCAGCATTAATATTACAACCTTTTCCTATGAAAATGAATGTTATGTTATGTTTAAAAATGGCTTTAGGCTGTGTTGGTTTTTTTCCATTTCATGTAGACAAACCTTAGTCATAAATAGCTGAATTCACAAGAAAAACGGAGTACCAAATAAAGGGTAGGAGGAAAAGATATATAAATTCAGTCTAATATTATTTCATGTATTAGAGTTTAATGAAAGGAATAGCCTGATTCGGAAAATAAGCTTGATATGCCAGACTACTAAATCAGTAAGTCACTATTATAATAAAGAGCTTGAGGGTGTTAATAAGTGTTAACCTTAGCAATACTGATTGTGTTTACTCTTCTCTTGTTTTTCAGAGCTAACGAAGGCACAGGGAATTTTAAGGTGCAGATGTGATTTGAATTTTTATCTTACGATTTACTTCAGAAACATGTATAACCTGAATGTATTTAATGTAGTTTGTTTTTCTTACACTGAGTGCAGCCTGAACTTTGATCAGCGTAGTAGTAATCAACCTTGGATTACAGAATACTTTCAAACCTATTATTGTATAGCATCACAGAATGGGAAAAGAATGCTTCTGTGGCTACGTAATTAAAGTTTTGGTGGGAGAATGGGAATGATAGTGATGAAGTTTCACCTAGGTGATTCTAGATTGTTATTCTTGCATCTCTCTCCAAAAGATGCACTACTATAGCTTTTATTGGAATCCTAAACAAAGGTGTAGACGTTGTCTAAAATACTGTTTTTTGAAGAAGATTCTCTAATTGTAGTGGAAAGCTTGCATAGGTTATTCAGAGGAAGCATAGCCTGCGGTATAAAAATAGTATAATAAATTGCTATGTGCTTAAACGTATAACAAAAAAAATACACAAACTGTCTAGACAGCACAATACGCTTCCTTAGCCAGCAGAAAGCTTGTTCTTTTCTCTATCCCTTCACTAACAATGTTTGTTGTCTGAACGGTGGTTGTTCTGCTAAACAGGAAATAGTGTTCCTGATCCTTGCTAAAGAATATGGCTCTTCTTCCATTACAGATCTTCTTACTGAGCTGCTTCAGTACAAATTCACAGAGGAACTGCACATTGTTTGCTGCCTTCATGGTTTCATATGCTGTAGTTAGAGATGCTCAGTGTGTCATTCCACTATTTTGGCTAAACATTTAGAAAACAAGACTATTCAAGGGCAAGAAGGAGATTTAATTTAAAATTACTCAGTATATGTTGCATTTAATCTTTCATTGTATTGGAATTGTAGGACTCAAAAGATTGAATGGCACAGAGTAATACAATATAAGAGACACCTAAGTGGTACAGTTAGCAGGAAAATTTTACTGTTGAAGAATTTGAGAAAAAAGTGTGTTAGTAACTTAAATATGCATTGTCCTGATTGTACCATTTTACTAATTTCCTTCATGTTTTCAGCTGAGTTGATTTCTAATCAATGTATTTTCAGGCACAAATCTGAACTGTTAGATTTGATTGCAGTTATTCATACTATTTTTAATAGTAATTACATTTGTTACGGCAGAGCTTAGGAGGCAATTTCAAACTTTCAAATACAGAAATAAGAATTTTCACAAAGAGTTGAAATGTGAGTGTAGTTTCATAAAACAAAATTAATCTGTAGAACGGAGGCAATGTTCCTGAAAATGTCTGCAGTCAATTTTCTTCATCTGTTACACCCCCACGCCTACCCAGCATTTTTTCTTCTTTTTACCCTTATATTTCACACTATTTTTTTCATCTTCTTGCCCTTGTATCACCTCCCATCCTTCCTGTCTCATATTTGCACTTCTTTCTGCTTTGTTTTTTATCCTGTTTATTTTGGGCCACACAAGAATGACTGTAGGGCAGTTCAACCATTTTATTAACTTATGTGTTGTAATATTGAAATTTGTGTCAACACTTATTTCCTCTGAAACATGCCATTCCAATGCGAGTAGTTTTGCCTTTTAAAAAAGATACTTGGCTCAAACACCATTAAGGAGTGCTTATGATTCAGAAAAAGGATTTTTTTTTTTGTGTAAGTGTTTTTTGGGGTTGTGTTTTTTCCCTTTTAAGCCATAAATATTCCTGCTCACTTCAACATCCTCAGAACACTAGAGTTAAAGATGAAAGGCTGCCCATCGTTACTCACAGTGAATAGTTCTGTGCTGCAAATAATCCTGTTATCCATAGACTAAAGTGCCACTCAGCTTATGTGCATATTTAGACTTCTATATCATCTATGGGAGTTCTACGAAATATCACATCTTTTAACTGGTATTTTTCTACAACATTTTCAAATTCCTTGCTGTATGCTAACCCCCTGCTTCACTCTATCTCTTCTTCCTTTCTATCCTTATTTTCTTCACTACGCTTTATATCTTCATGCTTTTTTATTCCACTTCATGACCAAGAGGTTTACTCATCAACCTTCCAAATCCTCTTTCATATCCACTTTTCACAAAACATACCCTGATCGATTTTTAGCGTTGCTCTGTCCTCAATTACTTGTTCATCTGTCTTATTTTTCTGCACTAGATGTTACCTTTTTTTTTAAGTGGGAATGTGGGGGAGAGAACAGGTTACAAGGTCCGTGGCCATAAACTGTGATTTATACATGCAGCAAGCATAAATTCAGTATCATCAAGCTTGCAGCAGCATGGTTCCCTAGATCAGGTCTGACTGTCATTTCTAGCTCTTGTACATGAATAAATCAAACTATTGTTCCAAAACCACAGTTATCATGGATACGTATTTAAATTCATGATTGAATTCAAGGGTAGTCCATGACCCTCTGACCCTTCTTTCAAATTGAAAGAATATGATGAACCTGGATAGTAAATCACAGCTGTTCAGACATCAACATAAAAATCCAATTAATTGACACGAAAGGTAATCCATTTATCACACTGAATGCAGTTATCTGCTCTGCCTTTGTGCCTCTTTGCTTAGCCGCCCATATCACCAGTCAGCCGTTTAAAATTTTATCCGTAGAAGAGAAACCCATTAAAATTTTTGAGGCTGGCATAACAAATGTCTTGTCGTTGCAGTCCTTGCTGTGAAAGTATTTAGAAATGATAAAAAAATATTTCAGACCAGTCTTGCCCTTGTGTTCTGCATAGTAGTATATTTTAATTGATTCTGGAATTTCATGGACTATTAAGTTGATTCCAGCCCAAGCCATAATACTTCTAGAATGCTAAAAGACTTAAACCATGTCATTTTATAATGCAAGGAGCTTAGTTATCTGAATCATGTTTGGTACAGAAGCCTGATAAGGAAACTTTAGGAAATAGTTCATGTGCTTCTGATGAGTAAATGCTTGTGGGGGGAAAAGTTCTTAAAATGCTGTGTAATACTAATTTCTGTGCAGAATTAACAGCAAATATCATTCTCCAGTACTTAATAGTGAAATAGGACTGAAGTCAGTAGTTGGTTATTTTTAAAGGTTGTTTTAAACAGCAGGAAGTTTGAACCTGGAGTCTTAATACATATTTAGTCCTTTCCCTATGAGGTAATCTGGAAGTAGAGCAGGGAAGGGTCCAAAAATTTAAGCTGTCACCCTCTGTTACTGGGTTTTCAACTTGGGTTTGGGGTTTACGAGGGATGATTGCTGAAAATGTACATTGTCTTAAAATCTTATGTTTATTCTTTGCAGCCTTTGGAAAAGAAGTTTGTGCGTGTTTCAGGGGAGGCAACAATTGGACATGTGGAGAAATTCCTCAGAAGAAAAATGGATCTGGACCCTACTTGTCAGGTATGCCACTTGTAGAGGCACTTACAAGTTCACTGTGATCAATGTAACGCCTTCGCTTCAGGCAGAACATTTGCATTGTTTATTAGAGTCTAGAAGTAATGTTAGGGTTTTTTTAATGCAGCAAGGAGGAAAGAATGAAACGTTTGAAATGTTGTGATCTGCAATCAATGTAGCGCCTTCGCTTCAGGCAGAACATTTGCATTGTTTATTAGAGTCTAGAAGTAATGTTAAGGGTTTTTTTAATGCAGCAAGCATTAAAGAATGAAATGTTTGAAATGTTGTGATCTGCGAGGAACGACTCTCCCAACTCATTTGCAATGTTTACATTTTCATTATAATACTTGATTATTTGTATAGAGTTTCTGAAGGGCCATGTAAGATTTCAGCAGATGAAATTCAAAACCAAAAGATACTGCTGTTTCAAAGATAAAACTGAGTATGTAGACAGGAAAGTGTGTGAGTGTGGGAGGATATGAAGGCAGACACAGGTAGGAGCTGAATAACAGTAAAACTTAACTGAAGCAAACAAGGGCTAAGAAAGAATGATACTGTGGATGGATGTGTTGAAATGAAAGAGATGAATGCAAATGTAGGCACGTGCCTCCAAATAAGAATTCAAAGGAGCAGAATATGGTACAAAATAATTTAACTTACTATTTCTCAATCATTTTGATAGGAATTGCATGTCAAAACCAGTTTTCAATTCTTCAATATATTTCAGCAACCATTCAGTTGAGAAGGTGCAGGAGTTCCATAATGTGTAAATGATTCTTAAAGCTGTCAGTTATTGGTAAATCAAGCTGATACTGATGTGAATAGGCAAATGGTTGAAGTTAGGTACTGGCTTTGGAGTTAAGGCTGTGTTTTCATGCAGCAGGTAACTATCTGAGACAATACAGCATGACTGTGTGCCTCAGTAATGAGTATTTATTCATGCCACTTAGCTTTTCAGTGGTGACAATCAGATATGAATTATTCATCATTCTGAGGAAGTAATGTATTTTCATTTGCTGGTTTCCTCTCAGTGAGAGTCTCTGTAGCTTTTAGGTCATGGTGACTTGATACTCTGAACAAATAAAAGTATCCTCAAAATGAGACTAGAGAAACTTCTTGCATTAATTGAGTTGTTTATTTGAGGGGAAGGAATTGGGGTTTTTTGTTTGTGTTTTCTTTAGTACATCAGAATCTCAATTTTCAGGAACACTGAGCATCTGTAATGGAAACTGCAGTTACCCATCTTTCAAAATCAAGCTAGGCCTGTGTGTTGGATGTCTTTCAGATTTTGCAGTCTCGAGATCATCTAATAGAGATAACTTGAGAATTTTTCCCCCGTTAGTTACTTTCTGCTTGGACTTCACCAGACAGGATATGATCCAGTGTTACTGGGTAAATGTTACTGTGTCTCAAAAGCTGATGATTTCATAGACTTCCTTTCTCAAGATGTTGTTTGATGCTGACCCAGTCACTTTTACCTCTGCTAGTATCCAGTTTGCCATTCTAGAGTAAGGCACAATCATTGGCTAGTTCTAATCTCTTGGTCTCTTCTGTGCAAGCCCTGCCTTCTGGAGGAAATGTTAAACCTACTTTCTTCTACAGTCAGATCCTTTGGCTGCTTTTTTTCCCCCCTCTTAACTGCTTTGCTCCCATTTTTTTTCAGTGAGTGTTTTTTTTGGTCACTGGAAACTTGTAGTTGATTTTCATGCCACAAATCATGACTGATTTCTTGAAGATATTCAGGCTTATTTTTAGAACACTAGGGAATTAGGGAAATGAAGCAGAAAGTATTTTTCCTATCCTGATTGAGCATTTCTTTGTCACATGGGGACTTAAGAGTAAAGGAGTGTATGTACTAAGCTGTTGCCTTCTCATTGTAGTATGCAGAACTGAAGCTGATGTTTTGTTGGTAAACATGCAGAAAGCAAAAGAGATGTCAGATATGTCATTAAAGATTAATAAGCCTAATGAATCATGTCTTACTCCAACTTCCCAGGATGGCTAATAAAACAGAAACTGTAAAACAAAATTAAGGAGAACCTGAATATAAATTAGCACAGGCAGAAGAATTTAGGGAAATAAGTTGTAAACCGTATGTGCAGAGAATATAAATGTAGAGGGTGCTTGGCTGCTTTTTTAGTTTGCTGTAGAAATTTGGAAGAGAGTTGAGGACTGCAGTGGTTCATTTCCTGTAGGCTTCCCCAAAGTATGTTAAAGAAGAAATAGATACTAACTTAGGACGACAAGCTTTTCTTTTTAATATTAATTCTTTAGTCTTGATTTCTAACTCTCTCCAGTTCTTCATTACCTAAATTAATAGATTTTTATATAAATTGTCATGAGTTTGATGCACTCAACTTGGGACTAGAGTCTAAGAACTAGATTCCCTTAGGAAGCTAGGAGATTTCTTTTCAGAAACACACGTTTCAGGCACTATTGAGCTAAAGTGCACTACATTCACAGTATTTTTTTCCCCACATTTATCTACAGAAAACACTGCCACAGTGTTTAACTGTGCCTTACCTGGAACTTGAAAAGAGTTGACTGTAAGGAGGGAACAGTCTTTCCTCCTTTCTCTCCTCCATATATCAATCGCATCCTTGGTTTCCTTGTTGAAACTTCCAGTAAGGATGCTAGGTGTGGTTATTTTGTGAATGCAATCAGTTCCTACTGAATATCAGCTTAGTTTGACAGTCTGCAAAAGTATTATTCGAGAATGTTTTACTTGTTCCCTGTTAGAGCTGATTTGGTGACCAAGTGATAGAAAGTATGTTACCCATTCTCCTGAACTACTGATTGTACTTAGACCTCTTTGACTTAATTTGTTTGTGTGGAATATTAGCTAGTTTGCCCTTCTTCATTGACCTGCGCAAGTGGGTTGGATTGAGGTTAATGAAAATGTGAAATAAGCCATCTGACTTGTGTGACATTATATATAAAAGTCTAAAAAGCAGTTTTGAAGCCACTGCCTTTGTTCTCTTTTCCTAGTCTGAGGCCTCAAATTATTTTCAGACTTCTGTATTTGAGTTTGCAAATGGATTGTGATTCAAATTTCCTAGTTTATCTGAAAGGTTAAGGCTTCATTTATTTTTATCTATCACTTTGGCTGACAGACTGTAGTTTACTCTTTCTGGTGCTTTGTTTTGATCTCTATGCTTTGGGCAACGATTAATTTTCTGAATGTGTCTATATATATTTCTAATTACAAGGTCTCTCGAATATTCTTGCTGAAATTTATGGGGGGGGTTGTGAAAATAATTTTTGAGCAACTGTAATTGGTAGTAAGAGCTAAGTAGGTATCATTTAATTTGAGCTAAATACAGGCTGTGGTGTTTGGAATCCGTTAGATACTTGGCTTTGACATCTGATGCACATCTGTATAGTTTGTGTTCAGCTGAAGAGTGGGGAGAAAATGAGAAGTTTTCTTTAAAGTGTTACTTCCTTTGAGGTCCATCTTGCAGCAGCATTATCCCTTCTTGCCATTCATTCTGTAAGGACAAGAGAGACTGCTGAAAGACTTGGGGCTCGGCTGGTCTGAATGCATTAATGTAGCCTATGGAATAGAAATGTTCCATAATCAGATGTGCGTTCCTGAGAGCGTGTGTAAACTGCAGCCTGGGGAAAGATTGGAAGAAAGTCTGTGCTCGTACAGTGTAGTTGTTGATGCAGTTTCTTTGTGCCAGTCTTAGACCTTGGAATAGAAGTATCTGGTACCCTTGAAAAGTAAATAGCAACTAGAGGAAATGGAAAGCTTTGCCAGCTTTTTGAATAACTAGCCCAAATATTCATGTCAATCTCTAAAACTGTGTTTTCCTTGTCCTTCCCTGGATAGTATGGGTTGGCATAGAAACTATGGATTGAGGTCTACTGCTTTCTGGGCCAAATTCCCCCTTGGGATGAATCTTATGTGGGATGTCCCTTACATGAAAGTCTTCCATTTTTATCTCTGTCTTACTTGGTGAGTATTAATTTGTAATTGTCTGTTATCGTGGCTTTTAGAGAAACAGCTCTAATAGCAAACACGCCACCTAAAGAAAATAAATGGCATAATGGAAAGGCTACTTTAATAAGAATTTTAACAGAAGTGACTGAGTATTCAGCAGCTACACCTTCATGTTTCCTTTCAGCAAAACGTCAAACCATATTTACTGCTGTCTCACTAGCTATCAGTACTAGCTGGCTTCAATTTTACCAGTCGGTTGAAATTGTAGTAAATTCATAGCACTTGTGTTGCTGGTGACTCTTTTGTAATGGAATATATTAATTCCTGTATGGCACAAGGATTCCTCTGAGACACATTTTGCAACTGATTTTCACGCTGAACTGGTATTTTTTTTCATTGTATGTTTTATTCTCTTGTCCTTATAGAATGAATCCTAGCATAACAATTTGCAGGCAGAAATTCAGGCTTTGGTGCTGGAATGAGGAGATTAGGCATTTGGTATTCAGAGCACTCTAACGTGGTAAATGTGAAAAACTCTTCCCAATTTATTAGAAAACACTGTATCTTTGATGACTACCATTTGAAACTGGAGCAGCAGGATCAACAGTGGGACATTTTCAAACAAGCATTCTGGTTCTATTTTGAAAGATTGTCAGCAGTTGTCACTGTGTCTGTTTGCATCGTTTATTGGGCAAATAGATTAGATTTTCTGTTTCTGTAGAATATATAAAATGTGTATGTATATATGCTTCAGTGGGAGCAGGATTGAGTTTTCAGTGCCTTATAGTATAAAAATTAGAAAAGTAAAATTATAAAGCAGAAGTAATTAAACTCCATATATCACTGGAAAGCAAAGCAGACATGTCTGTCTTCCTGCAGTAATAACTGTAGAGGCTAGAATGCATAGGAAACAGCAGAAATAGCTGTAACCAGCTTTCAAAAAGAAAAATAAATATATTTCTTCCAGGTTCTGTGTTAAATACATCAAATGGTGATGTTAAATGTATACACGTGTGCATATACATGGATCAATATCTAATCAATATTTAATGTTATGTCCAGATTAGTTTTTACTTGCTGGTTTCCTCCTAGAAGCTAAAAGCAGAAGTAATATTAAGCAGTTTACATCTTCTGCACATTAAGATTCAACCTAACGTGAACGGAGTATTCTACATCGTTCTCATATTATACAGATGAAGTGAAGTAAATTAGCCCTTTTTGAGCCCCTAAGGAGTAGAATTCCCACATTCCTGATTCTCAGAACAATGCGGTCTGCCAGCATGAGGCATAAATCTTCCTAAATCTTTTCATGAAGAACAAGAGAGAGGTAGTGGGTCAGCACGCAGAAGAGCATAAATCCAAGGGAACTGAATAGCTGAAGCACAGAGTGCGTCCTATAGTGGAAAGTGACCATATAAGAGAATACGTAATGATACTGCAGTATGCTCCCTGACTACTGCAGTGGCAGAGCTTAAACGGTTTCCTTGCAGAAAGCTGTGGGACAGCTCATTGTCAATGCTCTTTAACTTTAATTTTGAGGTTTCGTCATTGTTACTTGCAGATGAGAGCCCTCTCATTTCCATATCTAGAAATTGCTCATAAGGAAACTGTAACCAAGCTGCAGTTGAGAGAGAAACAGTGCTGTGTTAGCTGCTCTAATTTGGAATGTTAGAGACTGGATTTACATTATGCACAGTAAATTCATAGTAACTTTTCATAAAGAAGCTTATTTTTCATAATAGTCAAGGCAAGGAATTCAGAATATCTCATTATGATTTCTTTTTTTTTTTCCCAAAAAATTACTGTTTTTGTGGGCAGTTACTTAACAAAAGTGCCTCCTCCAGAATTGCAGACATCATTGACATAGTTCAGCTGCAGTAGAGGACATTGCTTAGAATTGCTGAGTATGCCCTTCACTTGCCTCACAGAAGTATTGATTGCATTTTGAAGAAGGACTGTGTGAAGTAATTGCTGACAGTGGCATACAGTGAGCTGTTCTTTTCTATTAAAACACTTCTTCCAAACAGTCGTATTAAGCAGACTTATTCATGTTTTCTCACTCAAGATAAGAATGAGGCTAGCAATGGCTCATTTTCTGTCAGTGACACAACCAACTTGCCCTCTTTTGCAACTGATAAATGACTCGATGTTTGTGGGATCGTTTTAATACATGATCTGAATTTCCATTAAATTCATCACAGTTGTTACTAAACAGCTTTTTTTCAGCAGACGCACCAAACTGGGAGTGAAACAGTAAACTGTCCTCTCTGTTCCAGCAGTGAGCCCCACATCAGGGGCGTGGGTGGGAGGCATTAGGGCAGTGCAAAAGTGCTATGCATGCTAAATACATTTGGACAACAAAGGTAAAGATAGCTTTAGTGTCTAACATGCTAGAATTGAACTCTTCTAATCATATTTAAAGGGCTTAGATACTGTTTTGCTAATCCAAAGGTAGGTTGAACTTCACCATGTTTGTGTTCTTTCACAGGTAGACATAATATGTGGTGATCACCTGCTAGAACACTACCAGACACTGAGGGAAATTCGTCAAGCCATAGGAGAGAGTGCAGTACAGGTACGTGTGGCAGCTGGGGCTTTGTGCCGGCTTTTCTGTTTTAAAATAGAAGACTTTCTTAAGCTATCAGGTAGCACCAACCTGTCTGAAGAAGTCACTTAGAAAATCTCGCCAGCTTATGCAAAATGTTTTTTATATTTTAAGTAGAGTTGAGAAGTATACCGTGGGCTAAGAGTGTTCTTGATGGTTTGATGATGTTCTGGATATGATGTTTTTGTGGGTGTGTTTTTTCTATTCTGAAAAAAGTTGCTATCTTATCAGTGATAAATTATACCAGCCTTTCTTTCAATTAACATTCCTTGTCTTCCTCCCTGGTGATTGCATCTCTGCAAGAAATCAAAGGACTGAAGCATACCAAATAAGGCTAGCCTTGTGACTGGGTCAGGGGAGTGAACTTGCTCATAAAAGCACAAACCAAAGATACAGAGTAATGAATGCAATTAATATGCTTGATGCATATTATACCGGTCCTGATCACAGCATGAGTGTATAGCCAACTATTTCTTGTTGATAACTTACTGTCTTAAGTGCTGCTGGCTCTGCAAATAGGAATGCTAGTGTTGGCAGACATTAAAAATCTTTGAGGCTTGTGGTGTGTACAGTTTCTGCAGTCAAAGGGAATAAATGCCATACTTGATGTCTTAGCTGTTTATATAATAGCATGAAGAAAAAATGAAAATGTAACCTAACCCGCTTTGGGAGCAGGGGATAGAAACCAGGAGGAAGCGGCACTGGTAACAAATTTGCTTCTGATGTAATGAGTTCATTGTAAGTAAATAGAGCAATCAACACATAGAGATGGAAGTGCCCTCTACTAAAAGCTTCAGTAAATAGCAGGGGGATGATTTATTTCTCAGTCCAGGGGTATAGTCAAATGTACATGCTTTTAGACTTCATCTTAGCACAAAAGCTTTTCGTGTATGAAAAATGCTCTTGGGGAAGCCATTTTAAGGAAAACTGCATTGGTTTCATTTCTTGTCAGAATTGGGTCTGCCTGATTGATGTTTAGTGGCTAAGTACCAGTCAGCAGCTCCAGAAAGAGAACAGTTGTCTCTGGATACATTCTCCAGTGATGTTTCAAGTCTCGTTATTACAAAATCAGTATGCTAGTGATGAATTCTTGCAAGCCTGCTCTCTTGGGCAAACAAACACAAAAAGGTCTTTGCTTTTTGTGAAGTCTTGTGCTTTCATAGTCACTTTTGGCAGGGAATTTGAAAAATCAGGTTCATCTTTAATTTTTCTTCATTTTGTTACAAAACCTCTTAGGATGCCAAATAGTTACAGTAGGAATGTAAATAAATAAATCGCTGCAAATAAACGATAGTTGCTTCTTTTTTGATATTGAAATAATTGTGACATTTTCATGTTTTATAGTCTCACATTATATAATTTTGTAGAAATCAAGAGGATGCATTTCTAAGATTAAAAAAAATTGAAAATGCTTTTAGATAATTAGCCAGAAAAAGAAGATGAATGGGTCAAGTCTAAAAATGGTAAGGGTTGTTTCTTTTTCACCAAGGCCTAAAATTCGATGAGGGGCATAATTGTCCAGGCCCAGTGAGACTACAACTACAAAGGAACATTTGATGGATTTTACATTAAGCTCCAAGGGCATCTTGTGCCATCATAACCTTCCAGCCTTTCCAAACCAGTGCTGGAGCTTGGAATGCCCCTAACAGCTCTCACTAGGATGCTGAAACTCTCTTCAAAACTGCTGTTGTCATTTATCAGTTTCTGAGGTTCGTTGTAGATGCTTCATGCTAAGAAAATGGCTTCAGTAGCTACTTATGCAATACAAAGTCATTTAAAGGAATAAACATTTGGGTTTTTTTAGATGAGTACAGTCACTGTTAGAGGAGAAAAATAACTGCTCTTCTGAATCGCATTTTTCACTTGCAAGTTCATTCATGTCACCAGTTATTCTTTTTGCTGAGAAAAGTGATTTAAAAAATGCAGATAAGTTTCTCTTTGCCAGAGGCATTAATTTTAACATGCATTCTTTGGCAGCATTTACATTGGAAGTTTCTTCCAATACAATGCAGCATAACATATGTTATGTGTGATTTATTTTTCTGGGCAATAATCACTGTAATTTTTTAGGGGCTTTTACTCCTCCTGAATGGTTCTTAAATGCTCAAGATTGTTTTGTGAAGATTTTGGGTGTTGGGGATTTTTTTCCTACTGAGTATCATCGTGTAGTGATGCCTTAGAGCCTTGGTAAATTAGTCTCCTGTAGGTGCAAGCTAGCAGGGTTTTAGCTGTTCTGAGTAACTATGTGCCTTTCCAGCAAGTGTGGGAAGATCAAGTGTGATCTAATGGTAAAATATTCCTGATACTGGCCTCGTAGTAACCTGTTTGGGTTGTTTTAATTGGAGTAAATAGGTAACTAATTTTAGTGGTTGAATGTAGTTGATAGAAGGATAAAAAAAAAACAGGAATAAATCTTGCTTAATCTTGTAGATCTCAAGATTTTTAACATTTCTGAAATTGGGTGGTTGGTTGAATCTTTCTAATTAGCTGGAAATAGGATTTCTAACTCTGTTTAGGGCAAAACCATAAAAAATTTGCTGCACAGAATTTATATAAAAAGCAGCAACTTTGCTTAATTTTTAAAACAGTGTAAAACTTGTGGAATTTACTGCAAGGAGAGATCGAAGACAGTGATAGAAATTTTTAAAAGGCTCAATTTTGTTACCGAGCATTGAGATCTGCCTGTAATTAAGAGTTTGATCAAGTAGCTGAGGAAGGAAGCTTGGTTATTAACTATATGGGAATATAATTTCTTCCCTGTATTACCTTTCTCCCCTCTGCTGCACAAATGCAACATGATCCAAGCTGCTAGTTATTTTCACTTCTCTGAAACTGGCCTCCTCAGAGCTCTGCATCACTGATGGATATAATGAGCTCACACATGGGAGAAGCTAAAAAGAGTAGCTTCCTTTATGTCCCTGGCCCTTGGCACAGAGGTCTTGCAGATTATAATGCTCTCTTTGTAACTCTCACCTTTTTGTAACCCAATGCCATTGCATTTTTTTGGTCTCTCCTGAGCTAGGCCATAAGAGCTGTGATCTAATTTAATTACTGTGACCCTCTAGCACACGTCTGCTATGGAAGTGTTTTACTCTCTGCTGTGAGGATATTGAATTTGGAAAGTGGAGGCACTTCTTGTTGCTACTGCTCTTAAAACATCAAAAGGTGTATATACTATGGTGTTTCTGTCTGTTAGCTCCACTCTAAAGTTTATAGCTGGGTGTAACAAGTGGGATCCTTTCCATTTTTTTTTTTTTAGGTCAGGTTCACAAATGTGTGGCAAAGAACAGTGGAGAGTTTTGCTGTAAGAAGGGATCATATTTTATTTTGCTTTTCTTTTGGGCATGTCCGAGTTAGCCTGATTTGGGATTTGTAATAAGCAGTGAGAGCTCATTCTCTGTTTGGATTTCCTTTTAAGAACAGTATCTAGAGAAAGCAGCTGAAAATATATAGAAATGTATAATACTTAAAAAGTGAGTAATTGCAGAGTAAGCAGTGCTGGTACTGGGTTAACTCTCAGCTTCTCTTTGTACAGAAGGAATTGCAGTGGGTTTGGCTTTGGTTTAATAGGGGTATTTCCTGTGTAGATAGATTATTTCTTTAAATGTCCTACTGCCAAATGTACCATTTGAAGACTCATTCATCAAAGAATACATTGCAGCATTTTCTTCTTGTACAGATACTGCTTTCCTTTAAGAAACTCTTGCCATAGAGGAAAAACTGGTTTTGACCACAGTTCTCCAAAAAAGGAAGCTTGAATGTGTCTTATTTTCTCTGTTGAAGTAGCTAACAGGCACAAGGAGTAAGTATACCTTTGTGAAGGTGTAACAACATACTGTGTGCCAAGAGGTTCATAAGTAACTTTATAGTACCTGTTCTACCTAACAAGAAGTGAGGACAATCAGGATCCTATCTTCATATTGCAACACAGTCATCCCACTTTATGCTAGGCACTGAATAAGTGAGTTAAAGCTCCTGTCTCCTCCTGTATCCTTTTAGCAGTTAGCAATGGATTTCTGGTTGTTAACAGGATGAGATGATGAAGGAAATTTAGTGAGCTGGCACTAATAACACAGGAATAAAATATGGGGGTTTTTTTTTTTTTTTTCATTCCTGTCCATTGAAGTTAAGGTTGATTGGCATCTACTCTACACTAGGCCTTCATTTGTCATCGTAAGCATCCTTTAAACGAAAGTGAAGCTGCGTGAGACTCACGGAGCGCATTTGCTGTTGTTCTGAAGCTGTTTGTATCACCTGTAGCTGTAGAGTTAGGGAACATGTATATTTGCTGTAGCCTGAACACAGTCTCTCCTATAGGTGTTTTAATGTGCTGTCCTTTTTTCTCAGCATGACCCTTCTGGTTGGTTTTGATGGTTCTTATAAAAGAATACTTTGATCCGCTTTTCTCAGTGCCTGCATTTTAATCCCTTTTATCATATCTTCAGTCCTGATCTTATGACTGATATCACCATGTCCAGTGATGCAAAGCATCTGGATTTGATTTCCCTTAGATTTGACTTGCGGATGCCAGAAGTTTGTAGATTCAAAAGCAACAGACCAAGTTCATAGAAGAAAAGTCATCAGAAGACACTTGATACAAAGTTACTTTGACTTAGGGCTCAGGAACTTCCTGAGAAAGGCTTTTGAAATTGGAAAATTATATAGGGAGGTAGCATACTTGCCCTTTTCATGTGTTTTTATCTAGGCTTTCACCATGGGGCTGGAGCCCTTTGGTCTGCCCTGGTATGACCATTCTTAGGACCTTACATTTTTAAGGTTAGTTTTTGTTTTTGTTTTTTTTTTTAATTGGCTCCTTTTTTGGTGCCCTCTTTTCCTGACTTAGAATATTAATCGTGTCTTTAAGTAAATGACAAAATCTGTAGCCAGAAGCAGAGTTTCAGGTCTCACTAAATGAGCATGTTGGCCAAATTGATTAAAGTATTGCTGTTGCAGACCTGTTCTCCTTCGTTATCAACCTGTTTTCTTTCACCATCACATTTGAAAATTCCAATAGCTCTTCCACTTTTTTTTTTCCCTTGAAAATAACATACTGCACTTCCCACAAAGTTAAAGAAACTAATGGTAGAAGAGAGAGTAAAAATAATTATATACAGCAGCAATTAGGGTGGTTTTCTGCTGAAAGAGCTTCATGGCACTAGAGGCAAAACAAGGCTATTTTTCTAATAAGAGGTCATCTTCCAGACAGAACATAGAGGTGTTGATAGGCACCGTCTGAAAAGAATTCCCAAAGGAAGAAAAAGAGCATGTCACGGAGGCATGGAGAAGCACATTCTGTCCTCTTGAGTCTGTGAGATCAATTTCTTAATCTTAAATTTCCTCCAATGCAAAATGGCTCAGAGACTTTTTTTATGAGTAGTTGAGGCTACACCAACCAGTCAAAAGCATTTTTACATAGATAATAAATTATTGTTTAAAAAAATACATATTCTTCCAAAACACTGTGTTTAGACTAATACAGTATTTTCTACTGTTACTGTATTATAATACATAACCTGTAAAGTGGTGACAGTCTTGTTACTTTTTTTTTTGTCATTAACTTTTTAATTAAAGTTGGGGGTTTTATGTGCTAGTATACCCCCTCACATGGAACTGCGTAACTGCTCTGGAACTTACGTTATCTTAGGTCCCGTATGTTAATAGACAAAAACATCAGAAGCAAAATATGGTAGAAGTTCTAACATGTCAGTTGTGATTAATGCAGTTCTCTCTTCAAAAGAAAACTTTTATTAAAGCCTGTCCATATAAATAGGTCTAATGCAACAATCCAGATTCCCAGTGGATCAATGGTGGAAGCAGACTAAGTGCTAGACCTTTCACCAGCTGTGTGTGAATTAAGTGACATAAGTAAGACTAATGAGTCAGGAAGTGTCCTGTTTCACAGGTGAAAGGTTTTTTTTTATTATGTGGAGCAGCCTCAGAAGAGGAGAAACATGACTTAGTAAGCTAATAGTTTGGGGGGGGGGGGTTTTTATCCCTTGTATTCATTACTTAATAAATGTGTAGTAGTAGTCCGGGCTCTTCCAGTACAGCTTTTGGCAGCACCTTCTAGAACTACTTAATTGATCACTTTTTGTTTCTGCCCCACAGTATCATGTGGAAAGCAGTATGAGTTGTAAACGAGAGCCTATTGTATGAAGATGAGCTAATTCCATTATAACTTTAAAATAAAAGCAAAGTACCAGATTTTACCTTTTTTTTTTAACATGCTTCTCCATCTCAAAGAGGAGAGGGGAATATAATTATTTGCCTTGATATTTCAAAACTTGTATTTGCCATATGGAAGTGACATGGTATAAAATGGTGAGTGAGGTTGAAGCTGAGGTTCTGCCACGCAGTGACTGTCGTACCAGGCGGTGACGGAAATGCCTCATGGAGAAGGTGAAGCAGTATGATGATGCTGTTTCTTTCTCTTCTCTAGGATGGTTTACTTGTACTGCACTATGGCCTGGTAGTATCTCCGCTAACTGTAACTTAACGATTGCTAGAATACCAGAAGGCAAAAGTATCCGAGTCATCAAGCTTCTTCACTGCTGTTTTTCACCAAAGAAGGCCATCGTATCTCCTGTGACAGGAAGCAAGTAAAAGGAACCACCACTAACTGCTGTATGCTTGTAATTTAATGTCTGACTTTACCACTGTAAAAAATTACAGCTTCTGTAAGTACAGCTATAGATGTTGCTATGCTTTGTGTTACAAATTACTGTCTTCAGATTTCACTCAGCTCAGGGAATTTAAATGCTCAGAGTAGCTGCATTTTTTTACTTTCTAAAACCACAAGATCTCACGGGGTGAACAGCCTTTTTTTTCCTCTAAGCTATGAGATATTGCTTACTTTCTAAGTGTCTAGCTAGAACAGTGCTCTCAGGGATGATCTTCAGTGGGCGGTATAACTTATTCTGGGGAGGAGACAGTCATTTGCCTAAAACAAAAGTGTACTGTGATCATCTGTCTTTGGATGTGATTTGAGGAGAGGAAGGGAACTTTAGAAATGCAGACCAAAATGGGTAGAAAATGACACATCATAAGCATTGTTTTTTGAGAAGTAGCATTAAATTTAGTTGTTTTTCTTGAAGAAAAACAATTTTGTTTGCACTGGAAATATATTTGCTGGTAGTTTGGCTTATACCAAATGGTGGATCATGCATCTCTAGTCTTAATGGAGATGAGCTGGCTGTAAGCCGGTTAAACTATGCATGAAAAAAAAAAAAGTAGCACCTCTTTCTACCTGCTTGCTGTATGTAAAATAATCACTGTCAGCCTGACTCTGCTGTCATGTAAAATCTGTCAACTGACTTGACTGGCAGGAGCATAAATCCTTTCACTTTAGCACATATCTTTCTAGCAGCAGTGAAAATGGTAGCTTTTTCCACTCTTTCTAATGTGTATTAATTAGCGCATTGTAGTGGAGACCGGGGTTGAGTAATGTAATACTTGCCTGTTACTACCAGATTCACAGAGGACATTAGGTAACTTTAATTTTAACATATTGAATAGTAGGTTTTGTGACAACTGTAATACTTCAAATTCTGTTCGGTTTAAGATTTCCATGGTTTCTTGCGCAGCATTAAGGACCAGAGCTTTGCGTGTTGTGGTCTCACTGCATACGAGGTCATCAATGTGGGGATTCATGAAAGCTACCGTTATGCTCCAGGCTCCCTCCCCTCCCTAGAGTCAGTGAAGGGAAAGGGAGGAGATTCCTTTGTAAAGCGTTTCAGAGCGCCTAAGTTAGCTCAAATGCACTTGCTCGCTGTCAACCTAAGAGGACTGGCATCCTTTGTCTAAAGAAAGCTTTCATGAATCCTTCCTCAGGTCTTTACAATAAACGTTCCGTTTTGTCTGTGAAGATGACACCGTAAGAAAAAAGTCTTGTTTGAAGTCATTCTTGTGATGCTTCTAAAAAAATGTAACAAAAACATTTCTAGCTACAAATTCCTATTTTACCTTTAAAGTTTGTATAAAAGTAGTGTTTAAAATGCAGCAGAAAATGAGATTATTTTGTAAACACTTTGTGAGTTGTGTTGATAAGAGATTATATATTATAACAGTAAAATAAACTTTATTTTAGCCAATTTAAAATTGAGCTCTCGTATTTCCATGCCATGCTCCCTATGTCAGCCTCAAAATTATAGCAGTAGATATTGAAACTGCTGGATGTGCTCTGGGGTTATTAGAATGACAAATTTCAATTAGGAGGTTGGATGGTGAAGGGTAGTTTAATACCGGAATCTCCACTGGAGCTAACTGCAGCATTTTCAGCTGGAGTAACATGGAATTTCTGGGACTCTCATTTTAATGAGGATTTTAGTGAGAAGTAGCTCAGTCAAGATGATTTTTTCAACACAGATACAGGAGAAATAATCCTGTGTGGTTACAGAACCCCTTTTTTCCTCAATATGTACATGTTTTTGTCAAAGCCACCTCTAGATTTTTTTCATTCATGTTTATGGCTGTTGTTATCAAGTCCCCTGTGAACCGGATCTTCCTCTGCCGTGGTGATCGTCCTGGTTTTATACAAGGCATCTGGCTCGTACACTTCGTACTGCCACTTCCTGTTTCATTATCACTCATCGGTTTGTTTTCTATGCATAGCTCTATTCTTAAAAAAAAAAAAAAAAAAAGCAGTATAGTCACATTTACATTGCAAATTCTCCCCTAATCCAGGCTTGAATTTCATGTCTACAGACGGTCTCATTTGCAAGGTTTAACAGCTGTATAGAAGCTGATAGTTAATTCAAATTAATGTCATTCTAGGATGCTGCTGACTTGCATAGCCTCAAGATGACTATGTTGCCACTGGCTCTGTCGTCAGTGTCAGTTTCTGGTTGTTTTTTTTTAAAATAAAAGGGCTTCTGCAATATCTTTAAAGAGAAGTTTTCTGTAGGGTAAATCACATGCCAGCTAAAATGCAGAAGGCCAAGACTTCCTACTTCATTCTTTCAGTGGCTTAATGAGGAGGATTGAAGATCTGTTGCCTGCGATATTTTGGTATGAATGCTTAGTGACCTCTTATTTCCCATTTGTCCATTTCTCTCTTTATTTCTTCCTCATCTGCTTTCAGAAAGCATATTCTTAGCGTAGTTTTCCTGGCTGAACATCCTGCTTTCTTTCACCTTAAAGTATACCCTGAAGGCACTGATGCTTTATCTGCTCTCCAGCTCCTGCAGTACCCCCCTGGGGCTCCGCTTGGCACATCAGCGTGCAGCGGGGGTGACCTTTGGCTATTGCCAAGGCTGATCTGTGGGCTGTGCAGTTTCCTGCATAAAGATAATCAGTCTGCTTCCTTTAAAATGTGCCAATCTTCTTTCAACTCTCCTGCTGCTGTGTTATTTCTGTTGGTCTCCTTTTAACCTTGGCTTTCCTCCAGTCACTTTTGGTCCTGATGATAGAAGAGCTTCCGTAACAGGCCGTCTATGGGATGGCGTCTCTGCCCTCATGGGAGATGAGCCAGCTTCGTGCTCTGGAAGTGAAGGGTAGGTGTGCTTGGACTCGTTCATTATTTTACAGATGCTATCATTGTTTCCTCGCTTGATGAAATAATTCTGGTTTTATTTTCTGGTTACCTACTTAGCAATGTCATGGCTAACACAGATCCTAATTAAATACTACTTGTACTACAGTGTAATTCTGAGTTGCTTTACAGATCTGCTAATTCCCAGCAGGAGGAGATGGTGAGGCCCAGTGCAGAATTAAGCTACAGTCCAGTCATGAGCGTTGAGTCATGTTGGTTACATTCTGCCTGTTTTCTTTTGTGTTTAATACAGATTTAGTGTAATAAGAAGACAAGAGACTAGTGAAATGCGCAGCTGAGCTCTCTTTAAATGGAGGGGCACCGCGATGGCAATGTGTAACTATCATTTATGTTCTGAACACCGCTATTGCACCCAGCCTTGATCTGCATTGCCGCCAGACTGTGGCACATGTGAGCCCGGAAGAACCCTTAACACTGACTTCCATAGATGTGAAACAACCAATGAGTTTTACTGAAAAATCATTCAAGCTTGTCTAATACTAGTCTGTGCTGAATTTCTTTTCAGGGAATCATCAGCCATTTATGTGCGATGATTTATGTTAACAATCACTAACAAATTAAAATTACATCCCTGGCATTTCTGTTTTCACTTTTCTTCAGTGTGGAGTATCATTATTATGAAATTTATGCTCCTTACAAATGGGGGTGGGGGAGGATTCACTCCAGCAGTTGAGAGAGAGCCTATTAACAGAGGCATAGGCGTTTTTTATGTATTACATCTCTTTCTTCTAAAGGGAGATGGTCAAGTTGTCCACTTGAATCTTCTAATATGCTGCATGCTCAATAGAGTGCACCAGGTGCCAGCCTGAATGTTTAGGTACTTTAAAATACCCTTGTTCTGCTGTGATAGGTACTTGCTGAGAGATGGAGAGAATGTTGCAAATGGCGCATTCTCATCACTTTTGCTTTTTATTTGTTTTTTCTACCTCCTTTTTTTTCTGTAACCCTAACTAGTTCAGCACAAAGAGAAGCAGCGATGTGATCATATGTTGAATTTTACCCATGTCATCTTTAAGAAACCCTTGCTGAACGAGCCAACAGATACTTACATTTGCTGAGGTTTCAGAAGATTGCCGTAGGTACAAGTTTAATCACTGAACAGGTCAAACTTTATTGGTTTTGAGAGACAAATGGTAATCTCATCTGAGGTGAAATGCCAATATCGATTGGCTGCCCTGGAGCTGCAAAATTCTTGCTGGAGCTGTATCACCATCTTTACTGGGTTTTGATTTAGTATAGCAACAATACATTTGTATCAAAGCAGCAGCGATCTGCAAAAGAAATATTTCCCAAAGTGGAAAAGAGAGCTTATATTTTTCTAATTGCTTGGTAAAATCATCTATTTGGAAATGAGATCTTAAAATGTTTGTTTTCTTCCAAGAGAAACGTTAATGGTAGAAAAGTGGGTGGTGTGGACTCGGCAAAGATTGAGAAAAGCAGTGTGTTCCTGGGAGAGCTGCTTTGGAGTCCTTTTCATGTGGTGCTGGGAGGCAACCAGTCGTTCTCAGATACCACGATGTGCTCAGAGCACAGTGCTTGCAGCATGCTTTTCTGTAGCTTGTGCTGACAGAAGCAGTTATTAAATGATGAACCGTTGTGTCCTTTCTTGCATATACCTGGGACTGAAAGGTAAGAACTCCCCGGGTGAGAAGCCTGACGCCCTTCACAAGAACCTGCAATCTCCTTTTTCTTCCTCATGGGACATGGGAAAATATTTCACCTATTGGTGGCAATAAAATAGCAGATTATTTATGTGCCACAACATACAGAACAGGAATGGTGGTGGTCTTCCTCTGTGTGAGCAGGTAAGCTGAACGCAGGGGCACCTGCATTCTCTTTTCAGCTCTGTCCTTGACTTGCTGTATGACCTTGAACAGATTTCTTCACTTCTCAGCTCTGTCCATCTAGTGCAGTAATTTCTGTAAAGTGCTGTGAATGGAAAACCCCACGCTACTGCTGGGTTTTTGAGGGCAGGCAATTAACAGACTACTGCTGAGATCCCCTTCAGGAATGCAGGTATAACAGGACTGGTAACAGTACCTGTTACCAAAGCAATGAAGTGTGTTTCTTCTGAAGACTTTACTTTTACTTGTTTAAAATTTTGCCAAATGATAAACATCTGGGCTGAATTTGTTGTGTTGCAGGTTGTTCCAGCTGCAAGTGGATTGATTCGGTTATATATGGAGAAGTTCAGCCAAAAGGAACAGAAAAAACTTGGTTTTAAGAAACAAGTAGTTGGTGAACAGCTTAAAAAAAAAAAAAAAAAA